AATGAAAATCATGTTTATAGTAACATATAGATAAACCAACATAATATTATGCTGATATACTTCATTGTGCTTAATGTGCTTAGATATAAATTTAGATAAAACGTTTATGGTCGAGGGTCGACTGTTTAGCAAGTAGTAACATGACACTATATATAATTTAAATGAACATATAGGTATAAATTATATTATATGATAAATAGATAGCGTGTTAATATTCGATCAAATATTTATGTCATAAACTCATAAATGTATAACACAAAAATGTAGTGGATACTACAAATCGATTTACATATTTTTATTTTTCGAAGAAATGTACCATAATAATATGTAATAGTACGACTATAAAACATAATACGTATACCTAATAATATTGTAAATTRTATCATTATTATAGAGGAATTTCGCGATGGATGGTATAGGGTAATATTATTATTACCTCACAGTATTAATTACTTATAAATGGTATTGTCGCATCTACCTTCAACGATTAAAAAAATTTACTAGAATAAAATAGTAACAAGTATATTATTAAGTTATTGTCATAACTATATTTGACATTAGTTAAACGTCCTAATTACTATATAAAAATATGATAATATCTTAAGTATTTTTTTTAATTATGACTTATGAGCACTATTAAAGTATATTATGCACCTGTATACATAATTTTTTAACTTAATTGGACCAATATAATCATTAGCGCAATCATGCATTAAGATTTTTATTTTTATATTTAAAAAAACGAGTCTATGATATATCATTATATTTTAGCACTCATACAGAGCCAACGTTCCGTGGTAACAGTTATTATTTTGAACAATAAAACTTTTCTTACCTGCAGTTACCATTATTTTGTTACGTACAACTCCATATGTCTCTATAATATGTKTATCACGCTCTAATGATCACGATGAGGTATAACGTTCATATAGGGTTGACAACATCATAATATCTAATAATAACACGTCCATAACATATTCTATCAAAAAGTATGTATACAAACTATATAGATTGATAAAAATTGTTTACGGTGAAAATTTATCATATAATCAAAATACCTAGTTAATCCTTAAATTGTTAAAAATCACAATCTACGATCACAATCTCGTATGTTATGTTGTGTTTTTATTAAACCCCACTATGTATAAAAYATATTTAAATTAATTTTAAATTCCAAATAATGCACACAAAATATGAATTTATAAATAAAAACTCCAAAAAAATAAACAAGTATACCAGAATCAATATTTTAAAACTCTTACATACAATTTACCTAAACAATTATTTATTTAAAAAAAWTAATGATCGAAAGAAAACGATTTAAATTAAACATACCTAATGTTTAAAAATACATATTAACTGTCTAAAGTAACAACACAACTAATTGAAATAAAGCCTTTTAAAAAATACACGGGAATCGACGAAATTTTAATGACATGGTTAATTTGGTTAACTTAAAGAAAAAGATAATGAAAATTGCGACTAACTATATAAAAAAAATTGAAAATGAATGTTTCAAAATTATATACTAATACTGAATAATATAAGTATATTGAAATATTAATATATTATGGTATTTACATGATTTGAACTTATTATTAAGGAAGTTATATTTATTTACGACAGCAGGTTCACAGCCTCATTAATAATTATGAAGAAAACAATATTAAAATGTATTAAAAATTAAATTTTTAAAATATATTTAGTTATAATAGGTATATACATGACAAGATTAAACCCAACAACGAATAAGCAAGAATTATAAAAATATATTTTAAATACGAATCTATCAATATTATGGTAATTTCATGCCAAAACTAAAAACTAGAAATTAAGTTTACTGTTAACCCACGCATATTATTGTATACATGCGTACAACTATGTGTGGTACATTGATACCTATATAGACTATAGAATATAGTCCCTACTACCTACATTATTAAATACATTACAGTTCTAAAACTGATCATCGTTGCCTCGTCAGCGAAATAGTGTATTATATTGACATTAGAATTTAAAACTAGTCCGTAGGCTGAACGTAGGTGGCGACTCGAGGCCGAAATTAAGGTATAGAAAAACGAGATTGACAGTTGGCATATTACCTATTTTTTATTTTATTTTTGAAAGTCGAGATTTGTTCGATTTGCTCTTACCGTGCTGCTGCCGATTGCAATGTGGTTGACGGATGACAATGAAAAAAAATGAGAGAATACAATATCGATCGTTTTGTATTCGGACACGCCATTATAATTTATACTCGTGTCATACAATATGACACGGTGTTTGGATTGACAAAAAMACGATACATAATGACATATTGTTTACCTTTGATCATGGTCTGCGTGGCCACGTGCGCCACTTCTACGCGGAATGCCATTTATGGGTCGACAACGGTTGATATGGCGCGGTTAGGACCGCGGGCAGACTAGAAATKTTGCAAAATAACAATTCAACGACGACGAATATTAAATTTTTGTAGAAAAGTTTCGCACAAATCGCTGGAAAAAACTATACGYGGATATACRGCAGCGTTCGGCCGTCGTTCCGCACTAGTCTGACGCTGCGGATGGACTGGTTCAGGATGGCATATTATTATAATATGCAATTATAATGATGTTTAGTAGCGCGAAACGGAAGCGAGAACAACGAATGGAGAACGAACGTAGGTAAATTTACMGAAAGTGATAAATATATTTTACACGGGTATCAATAGGAAAAATACACCGGAGCACATCTTCAGTTATAACCAATTAATATTATATTGTTGTAATCTATTGCGAATCATAACATTGTACAAGATAGTAATATTATTATTATCGTGTAAGCGACGAACACGCGATCACCAAACAGGTGATTGCGATACTACACCGGCAGCGCAAAACGCGCGCGTCGCGAGAGGTTCTCGCTCAAACACAACGCACACGCGAGTAGGTATAAATCATGAAATGTGCAGGCGTGACGCCGCCGAGCAGGTGGGGCGCAGCCGTTACTCGCCGAATACCCGACGAATAATACCATAATATTGTGTATACCTACTTATGTTATTTGGCGGCAGGTACCTGGCCGAGTAATTGTCTAGATATTATGATATGTATTATAAATGAGATAATATGATATTATATTATACTGTGCATAGGTAGATAGAGACAAACAGTAACTTTTTTCAAATACGCCCACCCGCCTGTCTATTTTTATATGCACAAATAATGCACTCGTCCGCGTTATGGTATTTGGAATTTTAATGTTATGCATATATTATACTCAATGACCTCTTTCCAATCGAAAACTTCTCTTTTCTCGTTTCAAAATGCTTCAAAATTTAAATACAAACGAGCAGATTCCGAGCTACTCTATATAATAGCTTATGACATATGTAATTTACGTACGTATATATGCGTACTGTATAGCCATAGAAGTAACATACAGAGGAAAACTGCAGTCAAGTAAATGTTTTAATAACAAATTATGTTCTAAATAGGTCAGTAAAATTTAATTTGATAATAATATAGGTTTAACTAAATATTGTTAATGATCATTGTCTATTTAATGTCTTATGAATTAGTGTAATCATACATTCATACCTATTATTTAAATTTAAATATTTTCGTCAATACAAATACATAAAACTCGACAACTATTAATTCGAATTTCGATTTCAATACATTGGCGTTTTAAAAAGAATAATCCGCTTAAAAATGTGCAGCCTAAAACCCATAAGGAATTAATCAAATTAGTTTGCAATGCATAGCTGCGACTTTGCTGTAAATTGTTATTACTTGTTATTTATCAAAATATTCATTTAGACATGATATAACCGTGGCAAAAACGCTATATGCCTATATGCGATCTGATCGATTTCCGCAGTTAGTCGCGAGGGGAAAAATCGAGACATGTTTATGGGGGTCACCATGGTGACATCGCGTTTCGTTCGTAGGCTTTTCGCCCACAAAAACTGCGTAGTAAAGTTTATTACAATGTTTCATATAAGGCGCCAAAACTACTGAAAAAAGGCTAAGACAATATCATCCTATTGTCGCTTTGGTTCGCTRTGTATACATAATACCTTAATCTAATAAYTTCAAAATTAAGTGACATTTGGATGACACGTGTACGACACAGTCATAAAATCTAGGGCATCTATTAGTCATTTAAAATGAATACTTAGACTGATAAACTTATAAATAAWTAAAAATATTTATCGCGACGATACAAAGGTACYTTACTACATAACACTATATATTTCATTCGGGTAACTGATAAAATAAAATGGACTATAGAGTACCCCGTTGGCGAAGTGGCACTGTCAACATCAATCATAAGTCGTATGTAGTATCAAGTAGTATGCAGGCTTGGTACTCAATTTAGTCCACTTAAGCCCGGCGGAACTGGGTTTCTTTCTAATAATATGTCTTGGGGCGGTATTTAAACATTTCACTTTTTTTWAAATGTGTGTGAATACAGTATACTATTAAACGAAATAAACTTGTATAACTATTATTATTATTACTACTATTATTTTATAATCGTTTTAACYATGAATTACCTACTTATCGAGTGAACAACTGATAATGTATGAGTTATAAATTCAAGGCCATTAAAATATCTACACTTGTTATTTTATGACGAAAAAAAYAGATTTTAAGACATTAATAATGAATTATTGTTTAATAAATTATTTATTTAAAACGTGTCAAACTGTTATTTAAGACAATATAAAATACTACATACTCAATACTTGGGTTTAGCGATAAATAATAACTTATAACATTTTTAAAAGTGTAGATTGAAAGCACTACGTTATAATTAAATAGATTTATATATTGTGTAGATCTGTGTTTAAAAATAAAACTAAAAATATATTTGATTACGTTACCTCCTCTTTTGTCTCAGTAATAACCATTTGTTAGTTAAAAACGTTAGGATAAAATTGGTAATTTACTTAATCAATAAATTTAATATCCTGTCAATTCTACAATAATATAATAACACAAACTACTCACTTTCAATTTCTGCTATGTCATTGCYTGAAACAAACGTTTGACTATCTTTGATTCCTTCTAAACATAAACGGAGACAATATTCATTTTCTCTGCACCGTTGTTTTAACTGACCCTGTAAATTAAGTAAATTATGAAGTAAAAATAATATAAGTTTAGAGTTATYATCCACTTACAATTTCTGTAACTGTAAGGTTTGAATTCGGAGAAGTCACAAGCATAGAAAGCTGATTCAATTGTAATCGACTCCTAAGGATAAGTTTACGAACGGAATCTGACGAATCATGTTCAAAAGCTTCATCGTCAAGCTGAAATAATAKAATAATAAATTATAAAGCTCTATACAACACTTGTATATATTTTTATTGATAAAAATAATAAAGTAATCGTAAGTACTCACTAAACTTGGTCTACCGATACTTGAAGCGCAGTCAGACTGACTATCAAAGCATTTTCTGTAATCGTCACCAAAGTCCAATAGTCGTCTGACCGATTCCGGRTCCGGTGGGTCCTCGCTGTAAGGCTCGCTTAAGTATTTTTCCTGATAGCTRTCCCAAGCCTGTTCAGAAAACGAACTAAAGTCTGTGGTTGTACCAGACGGCAATTGAGCGGTCAATGGAAAACGTTTTTCTCTTGGAGTGACGGCACCGAATTCACCTAAACGGAACACCGGCATTTTCATCGGACGCTTACGTACTGCCGGTCGTTTTGAATCTTTTGTAACTTCTTCTTCAGTTTCCGAATCCACTCGTTGAGACTCATTATGAGTAATGCCACACAAAGAGCCGGAAAACGATCCAGAAGTGATCATTTCGTTGTAGGTAACAGAATTAACAATAGATGACAGGCTATCAGCTGACCCACTTTTACTTTTTCTATCCTAGACTCATAAAAATAAATGAATTAATACAATTGGTTTTGAATTTTGATGCATTATGATGTATAGGTTAATATTATATTTTATCAGCTGTTGCTTACCACAGTGCTCTTTCTTCTGTGTTTAAGTTTACGTCGCCTCAGTGAATTGGTGTTATAAGATCCACAACAGTCTTGCGTTTGAGTTGCAGTGGATTCCTCGATGGTGGATGAGTCTCTACCGTTTACACACACTTGTTCATGAGAAATATGATTGAGGGCCGATTCAGAAACGGACAACTGACAAGACTCGGTCAGAAGTCTAGCCTTAGGACTGCTTTGGGGAAGACCAGACATGCTGACCGGTCTCAATGTATTTCCAGTATTTGTTTTCGATCTCAATTCAACCTGCAAATGTAAATCAAGATTTTATTAAAATAATAATCATACAATTACATTATAGTATCCGGCTAGTTACCTTTGGAGAACTGCAATCGTTTATATTTCCTGGGCTTGAAGAAAAATCCAATTCCTGAGTTTGAACTACGGTTATATCACACGACCGCGAAGAATGTGAATAATTATCTGAGTTTAAATGCTGATCGTCGTCTTCTGTAGTGTATTCACCACTAGCATCACAACTATCGCCGATGAAATCTTCGTTCTAGAAAAATAAAGTTACATGAAACTTCAATAATACATATGTTTGATAAATTATAGATAAAAAAATTAGTATATTACTTCTGGATTAGCCGTTTCATGTCGGAAAATTCTTCTTTTCACACCACAGCCAGACATCCAAAGTTTTTCATAATGTTTATTCTTGGAAACTGACCAATTGACGTTTTCAACCAGAGCTTTAATTTCTTCTATGTTGGCTCGTTCTGCCAAAGACACGGGCATTTCTGGTTTCTCAACTTCTTTCTTCGTGTTAGCACTGTATGTCCATTCTTCTTCTTCCGATGATTCCGACGTTTTTACTTCAGCTTCCACAATAGACTTCATTTGGGACTCTTGTTCCGAATCCGTATCTAAATGTCTGTAGTAAAAAGTTGCCAAGTTTGGGCCCTTTCTATCCGACCTATGCAAAATGTAACTTTTAACTTAAGTACTTAATTTGATGTGATCAACATTTTATTATTTTATATTTACCTGTGAAAATTAGCCGTATCGTCGAATGACATTCGTTCAGATTGGAGCACTGGTGATGGTGAAGTCTTYGTTTCCATTTCAGTGTTAACTTGTTCACCCTAAATATTTAATCGGCTTAAATTTATATCTTAGAAAAACAAATTGTACAGTATGGTCACTTACGTCTGAAGAATTTGACAAGTTATGATCGACTAACCGTGGACATTTATGAACCGGTTCTTCRTCGCAATCCGAAGAACTATTGCTGTCCTGCAATAAAAATACATGTGCATGTTTTTTTTAAATAATATAATATATATGGTAACAGCAAACGACGTAAATCCTATATWACGTACGTCCGTACGAGTATGTAACGTTACATTAATTAACTTTGTTAGGACGGATTACTCCGAATTTCTATAAGTGTATATATACTAGGTATTATATAACTCTTCGGTCATCATTCTAAAGTCTAGAATCTAGATAGTTAGTCCGACATACCTTTCGACATTTTTTCACGGTCAGACTTTCAATGAAGCAGATCCACTCTAACGATCTTATATACAATAGCTGCCAGCGGTGTTCGAAATTCTTTGCTTTTTTGGTGAGTAGCGGCACGGTTTGCACCAACTCTAGAGGAGTCGTAGGTTGATGATGTTCGTCAGCTAGCAACTTGCAGTATTTAAGCACCAACCGGATGCACTTGCCTTTTGATTCAATGTCACTGTGGATAGACTAAAATAAAACAGAACATATTATTAGACAACAGAAAACAGAAATATAATTATATATAAGTACATAATATCAGTATATACGACTTAAATCAGATAAYATTATTTTAATAACTGCATACCTATACACAGATATAAAATACGAAACTTAATCATATTATGCGCAGGTGGACATTTTACAACACGATTTCAGTAGTTTTGCTTATATCTATAATATTATTATGCTACATGTTAAATTATAGAATCAATTTATTTTTGTTTAAACATAACATTGCCTATAATAGTAGTTTCCACTTATATCAATACTATATTTGTTTAAAAAATTTTAAAACCCTTATGCCTTTGTATAATTTTATATCGTTCAAAAAATATTTCAATGAATATCCTGCAGTTTAACAATATTAGGTAATTTTTAAAATTCTTCTTTATCATTCAATGTCATATTTTGTGGTCTACCAATTAACCAATTTAAATAATATCTTTGTCAGCAATAAGACACTATATTAATATTAAGCTGTCGTATTTCCAGTATAGACTTATATATATATATATATACATAATATATTTTCATAACCATTTCCATTGTTTTAAAGGCCCGCTTGAAAAACAAGTTTTAATGATGTCTAGATTTAATTAATATCATAGTGCAGTATATTATATTTTATAGGAACGTATACTATGAATATTATAATAAAACTATATTGTCTGTTCCTATACATATATTTCAACCGATTCCATTTAATGTAAACATAAAATATTGTTTTGATGTTAAAAAGGTTTTAATGAGTTTCGTGGAACTCACGTACCTATATACTAGCTGTTAAAAAAAAAAAATTCTGCTTTAGAATTATAAGATGTCCTTCAAATTCTAAAATAAATATATATTCTTAGATAACACTTATGGGATTGTGGTATTGGTTGTTACTTTCATCGGTATTACATGTTATTATAATATGATAGATTTATTGTTTTTAAACTACAATATTACATATTACACTTTAGTTTTAAATCGTGGCCAACATTTTGAGCACCACTGAACCAGTAAGTCATAAATATGATACAAAACGCGGTGGAATATAGTATATACAAGGAGAGATGGCCCAGATATATTTAAATCCAGCGTGCCTTTCACGCCGCACGTAGACTGCACTGCATCATTGCCGCCGACATCATCATCACGTGGCCCAACTATAGGGAAAGGATATTTCGTTAAACGCGATAAATGTGTTATACATTTATATATATATTATAATATAAACATGTGTGCGTGCGTGCGTGCGTGTTTTTTTAAAAACACAAAACTCGACAGAATGCGTTCGGCGGACGCCATCGGAAAGGAAATGACAACAAAAAATAAACTCCGACTATTTTCTCKGGTGGTCATGGTCCGAACGACGAGTTCTACGACCGCCGTTACAGCAGTGTTGTTGTTGTATATTATACATAATATATTATTATTGTCGTCATCATCGAACTGTCAGAGTGTAACCATATAGTAATTTAATGTAATAATGTAATTTGCAGCTGCATGTGCGACAGTATACTGAAGAATTAKCACAGTTATTCAACGTTACAAAAAAGTATTACGGTAGACATCCGTTAACACGACTATCACGTTATATTGTTTTATATGACTTTATGGGCTTTCCGGTGCGATGTATAATTTTGTTGACAGTTATGACTATTATGAATTACCATGTTAATATTTCAGACGAATATTCTTGATAATATTATTATAATTTTAGGTATTTAGGCTTAGATARTTAAATAGTTTTGCAAACAGTATAATATCCAGTGCAATAACAATAATTATTATCTTAAAAAATAATATTAATGTATAACAGATATATTATGTATTTCTTATCAATAAATATAATATCACGAGATTCAACTTTATAATTTACCTACTTGAATGTATTGTATATTATGATAACTGCTCAAGTACAATGTGCAAATGATGAATAAATGTTATTAATTGTATGAATACATAATATTGTTTACCTTGTATAACAGATATTATGTTTATGTTATTATTATTATTATTATCAGTCCTAGTCTAAATTATTGACAGTAATACTTTTTTTTCTCTTAAAAAATCATTCACAGTCCAACGATTGTCTACAATCCAAATATATGAGAACGTGTTAAATTATCTACTATACGCTAATAAGTGTAGTTCCGGTCCAAGGTCTCTCATTWTATTAATATCTCCAAACGACTCGATAAAAACCTCCTATAGAGCCGTTTACGGTCAATTCACGTGATGAGTATACATAATTTATTCCCGTGTAAACTCACACGAATCGTCGTGCGTATTATCTGAAGTGCGATTAATCACAAAACGTTTAAGTCGAAACGTTTGCACACAGCGGTAGCACCATAATACGTACCTATTTAAATTTTAAAACGATAATATTCCGACACGGCACGTGTGAACACAAGTGCCGAATACGCCGGAGGCTGATTTATTTCTAGTCCTTATAAGGTGAAAATTATTGTTTTCGTCGCCGTATTATTTCCACCGTGGTTGAACAGCGTAGATGTGTAATCGAAAGACTTAGTGATTTAGCATAGTAATATAACATTATCGACAACTCAACGATGACCGAYGTACATTAAATATTTGTTAATTGATCACGCGCGGTATATATGCTGTTGTGGATGTGTCGCGCGTACCCATGGAATGGGTAGAAAGCGCCGCCATAGGTACCTGAACACTGAAGTCCTACCTATAATTATTATAAGGTTCACCGAACGAGTTTTTATTTTATTTTACCGCCGAAAACTTCGAAATAAACACGCGAGCCAGATAATATTAATATTCTATATTTATATGCATTAGGCGCAGAAATGATCGTATAATTTCCGTGTTCAATTTAAAAAAATAAAGTTATACCTCAGCATAATAATTCGCTTTCGTGCCCRGGCAGTTATATACCATTCATTATAACGCAGAGGGTGCACGGCGTGGAAAAATAGTAGGCATTACCCTCCCCTTCCCAATTGGACGCAATTAACGCGACAGCCGTTGTCATTTCCTGCTATATGTCCTAGGTTCGTCGGGCATTAATCGATATAAATTTCCAAAACACGTGTTAGTTAGTCGTGCTGGCAAGCCTAAACGACGACTGCGACTTATATACAATATAGGGTGTTTTGTTTATAACTGYAGTTGACACAATTTTTGTTTTAAAGGCGAATAAATCTATTATTATTATTTTTTTTTTGTTAGTGGTTTTTCATTCAAAATATTTTAACCATTATAAACCATTATGYTTAAAAGGATTTTTGAAGTACATAATATAAATATAAAACATTTTAATGAAATAGTTTAGTGTTGCAAGCCTATGCCTTATACCTATAATTTGAGAATTTATTGTTTAAATGTATACGACYATAACTTTCGATGCATATAATAGGCACAGGTTTAAATAAAAACTAAGCGTGCTTAAGCTATGCATTTTGTCATTTTAGTTTTTTTATCTTATAAGAAAAAGTTTTTGATACATAAGTACGAACATTATTTGAGTGTGCTAATCTTAAAACTGAAGGTGCTAATATCCCCTAAGCTCCCCCTCCCCTATTTGCGCCTATGATTCGATGGCATACTTCACTCATCGAAACTGACAAATGATAATTGATAAACAAAAACTATTTATTCAATATTTGAAATATACAAATTTAAATGATTAAAAAAGTATATCGTTTGTGACTCATCTGAACTTAATAAAAGTACCTATATGGGATGTACTCAAGAAAAAAAATATGCATACCTATAGAGATGGGTAAGTGAGAACAAATTTACCTTGTACAACAATACCAACTGATAACTTTAATAAATATAGTTGAAAATTAGTGTGGCCATCAGTTATCACCCCGTATACATATTTATGTGACTATTTAGTCGGTCACAGAAATTTGGATGCTGCGGTAACACTATAATATGCTGCGGCGCCTACGAAAGATCGTYACACGTGTCATATTAAAAATGTTTTTTGAATACGCACTTGTTTCTATTTTTTAATTTGCTCTTGAAAACGACCATATATTATACATAGCATGTATGTGTGCGTTATAATTATACCTACTGTTGTACGTTTCCATAGGAAATAACATATATGGCCACAGCCACGATTAGATATAGGAAACGTAAAAATGTAAACGTATTAAAAATGTAACGTGCGTAAATGGTTTTCGGCACGCGACTATTAAGGCATTATTATTATACTACATAGAATTAAATAACATAAATAATAAGCGACTTTTGCAGCAGACTACATCAGYCCCGACGAACATCTCGACAAAAATATTATGACCAAGACAATCATTTTTCCTTTGCATGAAAATCGAAGAAAAAATTATGCCGGTAAACAACCAGCATGAGWTTCATCTGCTGCTGCTAAGTGTAGAATAGGTATAATATTAACAGTTATTTTTAAAACGATTTACGTGCTTTGTCTMTGATGACGAGATAYTGCGGTCGATGGTTAGGTTAGATTAGGTTACTTTGATACGGTTTATATATGCGATCGCAGTGCGATCATCGCACACAAGACGATATAGATGAAACATGAGTGAGTAATAATATTATTTATCGCGAACCTATTCTTGTTTTGATGGTAATATATTATTATTATTAACAAAGTATTGTGTCCTATTTATGGGTCAAGTGAATACGTTGCACTGGAGATTAAAATTTTACGATATTCCTATATGCAATATACATATACGCGACATACGTATACTGTTGAAATTTAACATTAATAATTGATAATTGAGCTATTAACTCTCCACGAAAAATTATCATAATTTATTTTTTATCTAATTATTTGATATTATGTTAAAGTATGAGCTTTTCCACAAATAGTTTCGACTCTAAACATTTTAATTATGAATCATTCGTATAAAACATTTAATTATTATTATTACGAATTCAAAAGCAGCCAAAGCGTACCGATATACTTAAATCCCGGTTGCAATGATTTTAAGCGTAGTAGGCAATAT